TATATATATATATATTACTATTATACTATTATTATGATATAATTCCACTTCATATACAGACATGTATTTGACTTTATTTTTCAAGTGTTATATTTATATCTACTTTTATTGTTCACCAGTTGCGAAAGCCAGCTGTGGAGAAGATGCGAAGAGATAGAATCAACAGCAGCATTGAACAGCTCAAGGTTCTGTTGGAAAAGGAATTTCATAGGCAGCAGCCCAATGTGAAACTTGAAAAAGCTGACATCTTAGAAATGGCTGTCGCCTATCTGAAGCAACACGGTCTGCCAAAAACCAACAGTGAGTATTGTTTGGTATACAACTTTATTTATTGCAGGCTAATATATATGTAGATAAGTACAATTCTCTATTGGAAGTTAGTGCTTGTAATAATATCTTATATGGATGAGCAGAAATACATTCTATGTACTTGCATGATCTGTCGAACCATACTGGGTGTTATTGTCCAATACCATCTTCTATTACAGTAGTATGCAATGCTTAGCTTCACATCAATGTATATAATCTAGATAGAAGGCTACTGATAGATATGTCTGCAAGAATCAGTAAGAATCCAGCTCTCATTTTTCCAGTCCTGGCTAGGAAGGGTTTCATTGGTTGCTGTGAGATTTAGCAGAGCAATAGCATTATGTTTAAGAAGGATAAATTAGTTGATCTCTTTGTACAAATGTCTGAATTCTTTTCTTTTTTATCTCTTTCCCTAGATATGGTACATCACAATTTAGATATGAAGTTCAAAGATGGCTACTCCACTTGCTTTAACGAAGTTCTCAGCTTCCTGTCGCTCCAGCCAAAGCAGAGAACAACTGAAATCAGGCTGATGGACCACTTCAAGTCCAACGAAGTTGTCAGTGTTCCCTCGGTGCCTCCAACCAGACATAACCAGGCCAAGCAAGCGGAGCTGAGTAACAGCAGCTCTCTCTGGAGGCCCTGGTAGGCCTGTTGTGGACTCAATGACCCAGAGGACATTAGAGACTTGTTCAATTATTGTCCTCTACAAAGTAGGGAACATTTTCCTGGACCTCCGGTATTTGGAGGTCAATAATATATCTTGTACTTATAATGGAGTGTGGCTGTCAAGACAGCCAGATATCAGCACTCTGTTGAAATGTATTGTACATTGCCACATGTTGTATTGCATTGCATGGAGTGAATTAAGCCACACCAATGTGGCAAAGGTTATAACTTCAGTATGAAGTTTCTGTCCCCATTGATTGGATCTTACTCATGAAATTAGAGGAAAGGAAGAAGAGGTGTTGCCCATAGCAGCCAATCAGATGTTGTTTTTTAATCTGTATTGGTAATCAGCCAGCAGCTCCCCATGTGCTACTTGTCTTCAGTCTTTATATAACTTTCGGTCGTATTTTAGTGAAGATGAATAATTACAAGCTGTGATTGAACAATGTCACAGTTATACCTGCGTATGCAGATAAAGTATTTAGTAAATACAATCACCTTTGTTATTAGCAAAGGGAGAGCAAGTATTTGTTAATTAATCTTAGTATGAGAATTTTCTCAAGCTTTGTGCTTGGAATTAAGATAGGCAAACCCTGTATGGTAGGACTACAAGCTACAAGCTCTAATATATTGTATATATTACTGTACTGTATACAATAATCATATGTATCCTGACATGGAGTTTCAATAGTATGTAGAATATTTCTACTGTCTGTTATTTGTATACAATTCTGTCTCTACACTTTATGGTAAAGGATGCAGAACATCTCATTTTGTATTTCATTTTGAAATCTTAAGTGTAATTGAAAAGTGTTTTGCTTCCAAAGTGGACTTTGAAATTACTTCTCTGTATGCATATTATATATGCATTATGCGTATCTTTAATTTTTTAAGAATTAAATAAACTTGCAATGAATGCAATGCATAGAGTGTTTTTTGCATAATAGGTATACACTTGTATGTTAAAAAAGTTTTCGGAATCTCAATAGTGGATAATCTGCACAGTGAACATGTCTGTATGTAATGAGTCCTGATGTGAAGAGAATTGTGCTCCTGTGGCACCCTCTAGAGCCTTGGTTCTCAACTGGTGGGTCGTGACCCAAAAGTGGGTCGCGACCCCGTGTTCAGTGGGTCGCCACGTGGCTATCACTTTTCTAGGTGAGAGGCTCCTCTGCCTCCCCCTAGCACAGTACTGTCAGTTCTCATGCCAAACAGCCATTTAAAATATGCTGCCTGGTGCCGAGTGTCAGCTTCAGGTGGGATGGGGCTCCATCCATAAGTGCACAAGTGTGTGAGATTGTGTCTGTGGTTGTGTGTGTCTGTCAGTGTTTGTGAGGGCCCGTTCACACGTTAAACGCACTGTACCATGCAAAATCACACCTAACGCAAATTCTGATGTGGGAGGTGTGCTGTATTGCTATTCATTTGAATGGCACCCCAAACTCACCTCCTACCCACAGTTCGATCGCCCGCATCGGAACACAATATCGTGTGTTCCAGTGCGGTGGGACTTGGGTCATGACTTAATGACCAAGGACAAATGTGGGTCCTGAGGTTACGCAGGTTGAGAACCACTGCTCTAGAGTACATTTAAAAGAATACTTTCATCTTACCTCCAAGCTTCAGTCTATGTAACTTGGAGTTAAATGGCAGGTAGTTAGAGACGTTGCATGAGCTGGGTGATGTTTAGTGCCTGACCAACTAAAGTTGGGTATAATATAAGTATACACCAAATGGCACAGTACCATGGAGGTGGTTGGTGGAGGATATGGTGTAGTACGGCTGCCTGACCACTATAAGTAACATTCTACTTTTATTTATAATTAGCTAGTAGTAGTCACATTCACCTAGACTTGTTCTGTAATGTTGAAGACATTTGGTAGCTTATCCAAGCCATTTCTTCAGCTCTAATGATCACAACTGAAGAAGAACTTGGAACAACTATGACTTGGATTTGTTGTTTGACCATGGAGGAAGCGGAGGCGGACAGGTAAGGAGTGCGACCAGCCCACCTGAGGGTGACCCTGCAGAGCCCACCATAGAGAGTATATGGTGGGCTCTGCAGGGTCACCCTCAGGTGGGCTGTGTGGGATCTCAAGTGGGCTCTGCAAGGGATATAACTAGAAATCACAGGGCCCCATACAAAATTTTGCTATAGTGCCCTGTGATTTCTAGTTACGCCCCTGGTTTCTAACCAAAGACAGAACACATGCCGGGAATAAGAGAACTGGGTGATCTTCTCTGTCCAGTTCCTGCGTGGATCCAGACTAAATAATAAATAAGCTAAATGTTAACAATGAGACCACACAATTCATATTTTATTCACTAACTTTTTAGCTTGGTTCTTATTATGTTTATGCTGTTTTGATACATTTGAAACACCAAAAAAAGTATTTTGGAAATTTCCAGTTTTGTGTACATAACCGGACAGAGATGATTTTCCAACACCATCATAAGCATTTAAGTACACAATAGTTAGTTCAGAAGCAATATGTCCCAGAAACAGAAATTATTTTAAAATATTGGTAACTCTGTTTTATAAGAACAGGAGAATACAATTGAGTGAAGAATCCTATCGATTTCAAGTGTAAGTACACACTAAAAGGGAAATCTCAGCCATATTGTAATAACTCACAGGGGCCTTGATAATGCGAGGGTCTTCCTCCATATCTCCTGCCCAAGAGGACTGTAAGCCTCAAATTGTTGGGCAATGTTCTGAATAATAGAGAATAATGTAAGTGCAATATTATCTGCTTAACGTTGAACACCTTATGTGTGTTTATATACAGTATATATATATACAGTATATATATATATATATA